ACTCCCCAGAATGCACAGGTAGACAGATTCTTCACCACATTTCCTACCCAGGAAGTGGAGGGGACCAATGCACTTTGGAGCAGATGGCCTCCAGGTCTCCTCTATGCCTTCCCCCCTCTTCCGATCATTCCGGCTGTTCTTCGGAAGATGTTGGAGGAAAAGGTGGAGCTGGTTCTTCTGGCGCCTCATTGTTCCAGATAGCCCTGGTTAGCTGACCTGGTAAACTTGTCGATCGCTCGACCATGGAGAATCCCACCCAGCAGGATTTCCCTCAGCCAAGGGGCCCTACTCCACCCAGAACCTCAGCGGTTCCATTGGCTATATGGCACTTGAGTAGAAATCTCTGAAAGAGACTAAGTTACCCGATAAGGTGATAAAAACCATCCAGACATCACATAAAGCATCAACCAGTCGCATCTATGATGCCACCTGGAGAGCCTTTTGCTGTTGGTGCTCTAGGGCTACCCTAACCCTTCATCAGCCACAGTCTCAGATGTGCTGGTGTTCCTACAGGAAGGTCTAGATAAAGGGCTCTTGCCAAACACTTTCTGTAGACAGGTTGCGGCCTTGTCCTCAATATTGTCATGGATAATTATAACTCTCTATCTTAGCACCCACCAAGATGTAGGTTTTTGAGAGGAACCTCAAACCTGCATCCCCTGGTAGTTCATAGATATCCCACTTGAGATCTCCCAAAAGTATTCCAGGCCCTGACGGGACCCCCGTTCAAACCTTTAAGGTCGATAGGTCTCCATTCCTTGACCCTCAAAGTGTCCTTCCTGGTGGCTATCACATTGGCCAGAAGTGTGTTGGAGTTGGCAGTGTGGCAGGACTTGTGCATTTTTCACGAGAACAGAGTAGTGCTACTTTTAGACCTTACCTTTGTTCCAAAGATTACTTGGTTCCACAGGGCACAAGAACTAGTCCTACTGGACTTCTTCCCTAAGCCTCAACATGAGTTGGAACACAAGTGGCATATGCTGGATGTGTGGAGAGCTCTCTGTATATATGTAAAATGAACTGCAACCTTTTGCAAGATGGAAGCAATGTTTGTGTCCTTCCACCAGCTTCCTTAGGGAGCAAGGCTTCCCCATCCATGATGGGCAGATGGATCGGGGCTTGTGTTTCCACTGCATATGAGACTTTATCTCTCCTGGTACCCAAGAAGCTTACAACTCACTCTACTAAGAGTACAGCCATGTCGGCAGCCTGGGCTACTCAGGTGTCCATTGAGGAGATCTGCAGGGCAGCTACCTGGGCATTGCCCTCTCCATTTATTCGGCACTATCGACTGGACTTCTTAACCTCTGCAGAAGCAGCATTTGGCAGGAGAGTGCTTCAGAAGGTTCTTCCAGTGTCGGACTGAGCGGACCAGACATAGAACCTTCCTTGGACATTCAGGCTTTGGTATGTCCCTATCCTGGACTCTCGTAGCAGCATGAAGGAGAATCGGCACTGGTATATTTACCTGAGATGTCCTTTCTATACATACTGCGAGAGAGTCCAGCCCCACCCTGTATTCGTCTGGTCATGGTTGGGGAGGGATCCTCTCACTGTTTTATTTTTAGAGACACGCCACATCTGTCAAGTTTCTTCGCTGAAAAGCTGGGGCCAGCAGCAAGGGCTGGCTTTTATAACTTTGGCAGACTCAGCTCGATGACATAGGAGGAGGAGTCTAACCCTATCCTATCCTGGACTCTCTTGCAGAGAAAAGGCCTCTCAGGTAAATATACCAATGCCCATTTCCCTCCTTTTTTCTTGCATCATATATCTAAAATTGCTTTTCTGATAGTTTAAAATAGAAGTTATTTCCATTCCTCAGAAGCATGCCTCATTGTTTATTCTTTTTTTGGAGGAGGGGAGGGAAATTTAAAGACATAAAATTCAGATTAGAATTGTAAGTGGGTTCTATTGTATTTGATTTCTGTAGAAAGTGTAACCCTTTCTATAACACAATTAACCACTTAATTGGAAGTGGTTGCTGTTTATTGTATTTGACTTCTGTAGAAAGTGTAACCCTTTCTATAACACAAAGGATAATTTGTTCTGGTTTGCAGAATATTTAACCATTATTGTTTCAAGTGACTATCAGTGTCATTTTTCTCAGCTTCAATAGTTTTCTTAATTTTTAATATGTTTTTACAAATTAGAGTTGACTACTATGATAAGGGCCAGCATTAATAACAGTACCACTTAGACTTATATACCACTTCACAGTGTTTTTTACAGCCTTCTCTAAGCGGTCTACAGAGTCAGCCTATTGCCCCTAACAGTCTGGCTCCTCATTTTACCTGACCTCAGAAGGATGGAAGGCTAAGTCAACCTTGAGCCTGGTGAGATTCAATCTGCCAAATTGCAGGCAGTAGAAGTAGCCTGCAGTACTGCATTCTAACCACTGCACCACCGCAGCTCTTATTAAGTTATATTTGTAGGGATAAATGACAAATACTATGTCCATTGGAACATAAAACTGTTGGAAACAGTCTTTGTAGGAAATCCTTCTTCATTTCTCCCAATGTTCCTAGTATGAATAGCTGACATTGATCCTGTGAGATGGGTCTTAATTTATAGAAAACAGAACATAGATTCTGTTAACAGAAATGTCCAAAGAAAGATTAAATATATTGTGGTATTTATTACTAATTATAAGGCTTCTTTCTTCTGAAAACAACATGCTGTGTGAGATACCTTCTAAAGATCTGAGTAAAAATAATCTTGTTTTTACTAGCAGTATATTAGAATGCACCCTCTTGTGGTGAGGAGATGCAGAACAATTTATTCTTAGTCACTGTTTCTCAGTATCTGTGTTTTAATTGGAAGTGGTTGCTGTTTATTGTATTTGATAAAAATCTGAATGCCTATCAAATCCTGCGGCTATATTTCTTTTATTTCCATATATAAAAGTATGTTAATTACTACTCATTACTTCAAATTAATAATAAACTTTTAAATACTCTATATTAATGCTGTACTTCAAGAAGTGATAGCATTTACTCAGTATTGGCTAATTTGATAAGCTAAGCAGGGAATACCAATGTCATGGGCAAGACTGGTAAATTGGAAAAAATATCCTAGAAAAAAGCAATGACAGACTGAATCCTTAACAGCAAAACTTCAAGATTGCAGTTGAGATTCAAGTTCATATTGAGGACAATTTACTTTTATGCTGTTATTAGGGTGTGTGTTTGTGTGTGTCTGTGTCTGTGTGTGTATGTATATGGTATTCAGCTTTGTTCGGGTATTTTCCCACATCATTGTAGTTGTGCTTTTAAAGTTGTAGCAACGTTTTGGCAGAATCTCATCTGCCATCATCAGGCTATATATATATATGTGTGTGTGTGTGTGTGTGTGTGTGTGTGTGTGAATAAAATGGCATTAAAATTTGAAACCTGTGTAATATCATTTTTACGATGCTATTAAAAGCTAAAAACAAGAGAGCCAAAAGCAAGCAATGAGGAATTCCAGTCCTCAGTTTTTATATATTAAATGTAAATGAAAATATGTTGTTTTCAAACTCATAGCATTAGTTATAGATGTATGTGAGAGAGAGCAAGACAGAGAGATGGGAGTTTCATTTCAAATCATGGTACGATTTTTGTGCTATTTAAGCTTCTTAGCCCAATGTTTCCCAAATAAGATGTGTGGATGTCAACTCCCAGAATTCCCCAGCCAGTCATGCTGGCTGATAAACCCTGTCCTACTGAAACTTGAATATCAGTGAAATGGGTTTTGGATGCAGTACAGTAGTCCTCAACTTATAACCATTCAAAGTTACAGTGACTGAAAAAAATAACCAGTCTTCATGCTTACAATGTTTGCGGCATCTTCATGGTCACATGATCAAAATAGGCACTGGGCATCCTGGCAACTGGGATGCATTTATGATAGTTGGCACCTCCCAGGTCATGTGATTGCTATTTACAATCTTCCTAACCAGCTTCTGATAAGCAAAGTAAATGGGAGAAGCCAGATTTGCTTAACAACCTCGTGATTCATGTAACTGCTTTGATTCACTGAACATCTATGGTAAAAAGATAGTAAAATCAGGTGTGATTCACTTAACATCTGCCTTGCTTAACAATGGAAATTCTGGTCTCAATTGTGGACATAAGCGGACTCTCACTTGACCTGGATTACAAATTAGGGGTCCTTGGTGGCCCTTATTTCAACCCTGAGCTACAAATATTCTCCTTTATTGGATTAAGAATATGTGGTACAAATTCCTACAGAATACATTCCATGGTTTTAGGAAGACAATATTCAAGCATAAGGTTCTCCTATTCTGTTCAGTATTGTAGCTCCTTCAGGCTGGAACTTAAAGGTGCTAATCAGTTCAGAGTACAGGTAGTCCTTGACTTACAACAGTTCATTTAGTGACCATTGAAGTTTCAACAGCCCTGAAAAAAGTGATTTATGACCATTTTTCACATTTACAACTGTTGCAGTTGTAAATGTGGTCTTGTGATTTGTGTTCGGATGCTTGGCAACTGACTCACATTTATAATGGTTGCAGCATCCTGGTGTCATGTGACCTTCTCACAAGAAAACTCAATTGGGAAACCAGATTCCACTTAACAACTGTGTTACTAATTTAACAATGGCAGTGATTCACTTAACAAATGTGGTAAGAAAAGTCGTAAAATAGTACAAAACTCACTTAACAAATATCTCACTTAGCAACATAAATTTTGGGCTCAATTGTGATCGTAAGTTGAGGACTACTTTGTAGCAAAAATGTAGCCTCTTTAGTGTTGTCAGAAGCTGTTACCTGCTTTTATTAAAGAGTAAAAAAACTGCCAAGAATTATTAATGCACTTGTTAACCATATAGTGTCATATAAATTGTTACTATCTGAGAATAATTTTCCAGAATCTTTTGTAGAATGAATTATAATCTGTAAATTATTGAAAAAGCATTCTATTTTAATCACTGCATCTCATCTCTTGTAACTGGCTGATTTTTGTAGTAGAAATGTGAACATTCTTCTTTGCCATTTCAAGGTTTCTTGCAATATATTCCGAACACTTCCTCCAAGTGATAGCAATGAGTTTGATCCAGAAGAAGATGAACCCACTCTTGAAGCATCATGGCCACATTTACAGGTGATTGTATTTAGCACAGTCTTAAAGAAACCCCAAATGCCTGCTGAAAAGCCATGCTTTCATAGCTCTCAAATCTATAATAGGGAGGGATAGACTATTGCAGAGGTTGGGGGAACATTGGTGGGGTGTTTGAAATAAAGCAAAAGCAACACTGGATAGTGCACAACAAATGAGTAAAACCATAGATACACAAAAAACCACGTTTACAGTAAATATTACAATAACAGAAGTTTTACAAACCTCTTTAAGTAAAGAGAGAATAAAAATAGCTGGCATTTGAGCCATCTAAACATGTCTCTAGGTCCCTGGGAACACTAGGCCTGATAACCTAACCCAGGGGTGGCCTACTATGGCCCTTTTATGAATTATGGACTTCAACTCCCAGAATTCCTGAGCAAGCCATGCTAGCTCAGGAATTTTGGGAGTTGAAGTCCACAAGTCATAAAGGGGCCATAGTTGCCCACCTCTGACCTAACCAGATCTTAAGGGCTTTCCAGAATATCAAAAAAATACCTAATTTTGGGGGAAGAATCATGGTCTCTGAGGTGGGCATCTGGGCAGAGAGTGCACATTTTCTGGGACCCACCAGATGTTGGCCTTTAGCTGATGGCACCCAGAGCATGCCTCCTCTGACAGATCTAATGAAATGGTCAAAGTAAGTAGGGAGGGCAGGTCACTCAAATAGCAATATGTGCAATTACAGAATGCATTTAATCTGTACTAACCTGTGTTGTTATTTTTTGCAGCTTGTATATGAATTTTTCATACGATTTTTGGAAAGCCAAGAATTTCAGCCCAGCATTGCCAAAAAGTATATAGATCAAAAATTTGTATTACAGGTACAGAGCTCTATTTTATTTAGTCTTATTGTATTAATAAATATACCAGCCTTTGTTAATCAAGATGAATGGTAATTTTTAGTTACTTGTGCTCATTCAGTTCTGGGGATATTTTGTATGAATGTTTAATATTGGAGAATTACGGCTAAATTCAAGAAATAGCAAATGCCACCACTAAGAATTTTATACAAGAGTTTGCTAGAATCCACTAATTGAAACATTTCTTGCCTCATATGAATATACCCTAAGACCTGCAGGAAAACTGCATTGACTCTCTTCTGCTATCACTTGCTAATAAAGAAACAGATGGCAAGAATTAGGCAGGAAAATTAAAAATAATGATGTGATGTGATTTTGGAACATAGTAAACAGAAAGAAAAGTGCAGGTATTTGGATAGAATAAAGCATTTCAGCGATATTAAAAGCGGAAAGTCAAGTAGCATCAATAATCTGTTGTGTTTTTCTTTATTTTATTAGCTTTTGGAGCTATTTGACAGTGAAGATCCTCGGGAACGGGACTATTTAAAAACAGTCTTACACAGAATTTATGGCAAGTTCCTTGGTCTTAGAGCATTTATCAGAAAACAGATTAATAATATTTTTTTACGGTAAGTTTTAAGAAAATAGGGGCACAAGAAACTTTTGGGTTTTGCATGATAGTGTCACTGAATAAATATGAACATTTAATGTATGCAATTTGCTTTGCAGGTTTGTTTATGAAACTGAACACTTCAATGGTGTGGCTGAACTGCTGGAAATATTAGGAAGGTAATGAAGTCCCATTTTTATAACTAAGGATGTAAATATAATAATATGTAAATATACTGAGTTTATAGATTAAAGCTATGTTTATTTATTAATACATTAGCAAATGCTTACTTCATTAAAAGTAATATAAAAATTAAATTTAGATGCCAGATCATACAATTACATTTCCATTATATCCTGACATTCATTCATTCATTCATTCATTCATTCATTCATTCATTCATTCATTCACAAATGAAAGAAGTAAAATAATTAAAATCAGTCAAAGCCTTTACAAAAATGTATGGAGTTCTTAGTGCTCTCTGAGCTTGGTTGTTTTCTTGAAGATGTTTCATTACCAAACTAGGTAACATCATCAAAATATGTTTTCAGGGCCTTTCTAAAAACTAATAAAATTAGTTTTTTTTAATAATTTCCAGTGTATTCTTTTTGAATTCCCAAAGAAAAAGTGGAATATAAATATGAATTATGGATAATAATGATCTGCTACTTAACTATTGGAACTATCACATCCAGTATCCAGACTTAACAATTGTCAATAAGAAAGACAAAAAAGTCTGAATATTGGACATGGTTGTCTCAGGAGACAGCAATAGAAGAGAAAGAACGGAAGAAAGTCACAAAATACAAAGATCTGCAAATAGAAATAGAATGGCCATGGCAAATGAAAGCAAAGGTGATACTAATAGTATTAGGCACCTTGAGTGCAATCTTGAAACAATTTGAAGCACCACTTGAACAACATCTGCATTGATGAAATCAGCATCAATCAATTACAAAAGGCATATTTGCTTGGAACAGTTTACACTGTCTGCATAATTATTAGGCAAGTTGTATTTTGGAGGATTAATTTTATTATTGAACAACTACCGTGCTTTCAGTCAAACCAAAATGTTAATAATCCTCAAACCTGAATATTTCAGAAAGTAAAAATGATGTATTAGCTTTCTTAAGAGAATATATATGCACAATTATTGGGTGGCTATTAGTGTGCAGAATTATGCAACTAAATGAAAAATGAAAATTTACTCATTTCACTAGTTTATTTGCACCTGTTAAAGTGAAATAATAAACAACTCAAAATGTACAAACATTTCTGATAGTTCAAAAAAAAAAACCTTCCTTCTTTTCAATAACAGTCATAAGCCTAGGTCTGTTGACGATCAACATTTTGTATAGCAGCAACCACAGCTTCCACAGCCCTGTTCAGAAAGGTTACTCTTTCCTTCACCATAAATCTCCTGTTTAAGAAGGGCCCACAAGTTCTCAATAGGGCAGTGATGGCTAACCTTTTTTTGTCGCGTGCTGAAAGTGTGCGCTTATGCGCATGAGAGCACGCATGCCCCCTGTACTTGCAATGCACGCGTGACCCTCGCCCCCTGGCATGTGCTCCCCAGCCCCTGTGCATGCACACATGTCTCCCGCATGCACCCCGCCCCCCAGGCATCTGCAGTAGATACCTGAAAATTAGCTGGCTGGCAGGAGGTGTGTACGCATGCGCAGTGAAACTGAGCTGGGGCAATGGCTCGAGTGCCCGCAGAGATGGCTCTGCATGCCACTCCCAGCACGCATGCCATAGGTTCGCCATCATGGCAATAGGGTTGTCAGGTGAAGAAGGGAGCCATGTCATTATTCATTCATCTTTAAAGCCTTTACTAGCTAGCCACGCAGTGGAGTACTTTGAGGCATGCGATGGAGCCTTGTCCTGTATAAAAACCATGGTCTTTTTGAAAGATGCAGACTTTTTGCTTGAAGAAAGTGTCTTTTAAAAAATTGGCAGTAGGTTTGGGAGTTTATGTTGAATCCCTCTTCAACTCAAAAAGGTCCAACTAGTTCATCTTCAATAATACCAGCCCATACCAATACCCCACCTCCACTTTACTGGTGTCTGAGTCGAAGTGGAGCTCTTCTCATTACTGATCCAACTACGGGCCCATCCATCTGGTCCTCCAAGAGTCACTCTCATCTCATCAGTCCATAAAATCTTTGAAAAAGCTGTCTTCAGATATTCTTTGGCTCAGTCTTGCCATTTCAACTTATGTGTCTTGTTCAGTGGTGGTCGGGTTTCTGCCTTTCTTACCCTGGCCATATCTCTGAGCATTGAACACCTTGTACTTCTGGGCACTGCAGGTAGGTTGCAATTCTGGAATATGACAGCACTGGAGGATAAAGGGTTCCTGGTAGCTCCATGTTTGATTCTTCTCAAATCTTTGGCAGTTAAGGTGTGTCTTCTTTTCTTAACGTGTCTCTTGTGACCCTGTTGACTATTAGCAACAAAATGCTTGATGGTTCTGTGATCGGGCCCCAATATTTTATCAATTTCAAGAGTGCTGCATCCCTCTAAAAGACTTTTTACAATGTTTGACTTTTCAGAGTCAGCTAAATCTCTTTTTTGGCCCATTTTGCCTGAGGCAAAGAAGCTGCCTAATAATTATGCAGATAATTAATATAGGGTATTGATCTCCTTAAGCCATACCCTCCCTCATTATAGAAATACACATCACCTGATATGCTTGTATCCACTAAGCATTCAATTTTATACAGTTTGGAGGTTGAATATATGCATAAAAATGATGATAAGGTGAAAATACTCTCTTTCCTAATAATTGTGCACACGTGTACATCCTGCTTATGGTACCTTTAACACTATCAAATATCCACACCTGCCAATTCAAGGTCCTTGGGAAAGAATCAATAGAGGGACAAAAATTCTAAATCCCATCTAAACTTCTGGCTGATTTTGTGATAAACCATAATAATAAGAGAAAAATCTCTATGCTTATTTAGTTATTTATCAGTATTTATAGACTGATCTGTTCTAGCAAATGGGCAAAGTACATAAACGAACAGTACAGAATATCTCAGGAATTAAAGCAGTCAAAACAGCAAATCAGTCAGTCATCATCATTACCAAAATAGAATTATATGCACTACTTTACATGTGGTGAGCTTTCCAGAGTTTAATCCTGTGTAAAAGTGATCAGTGATTATGAATGTGCAGTATTTTGATAACATATCCATCACATTTTCTAAATTCAGAGTGTTTTCTCAGACCAACATAGCTTCTATGCAGTTTCATGAAAACACATGTCTCTTTAAGGAGTTGCTTACAGCTGCAGAAAGAGCACTTGTGCCAGATCAGAAGTAGTTTTTCTCATTTCAGATTTCAGTATATTGTACATTGAAATACAATATAAGTAAAATATAGGACAAAGTCCAGGGAGATCTGGGTTCAAGTCCACTGTTCACCATGGACAGTGACTGGGTTTAGACCAGTTGCATTCAACCTACTTCACAGGGTTTTTGTGGTGGGAATAAAATGAAGATGGAGTTCAATAAGTTTGGAGGAAAAGCAAATTATAGATCATATAACAAATAAATAAAAATTTTCTCCTTTTCTTATTTCTAGTATTATCAATGGCTTTGCTTTACCTCTTAAAGCAGAGCATAAACAGTTTTTGGTGAAAGTATTGATCCCTCTACATACTGTTAGAAGTCTATCGCTGTTCCATGCACAGGTAGAAATTTAAGTACTATGTTATGTATTACATTTTTGTAAGAACTGTGTCACATTCTGTTCCATATACAATGTACAATATTATTAAGTTAAAACATATTTACTACCATGCATAAAGATGCACAGGCTGGTCCACAAATTGTTCTAACCCATTCACTGTTGTAAACTAGGTTTATTGAATAGGCCACATTTGACTGGATTCTTATAGTACTTTAAGCTATAAAACATGTCACAATAACTGGATTTTCCCAATTTGCTAAGCCCAAATCAAAGAAATCACTGCTTTCTGGGAATCTAGTTATATAGTAGATCAGAAGATGAAACTGATTTGAGATGTGAGTTGTTAGTGGAACTAAGTCCATTTTATTATCACTCTTTATTTAGGAACTCTCATTCCCAATTTTCAAATAAAGATCTTTGTCATGTTTGGTATTTGAAACTATTGACTTCATTATATTGTACAATCTGTAGATTCTTCAGTATCTCGGTAGAATCCCTAAAACAATTGCTGTTAATGTTTTATTTCTAATAAAGCTGGAGGTCTATATATTTTAAAGTGTATGAGAAGAAATTAATATTTATTAATTAAAATGTAGATTTTAGCCTGGCTTCAATCATTTTTGTATTCAGTTTTCAACTTCTGTTTGGAGTGAGCCTCACATTATATTACTTAAAGGATAAATGCAGCCTTCAATCTTAATCTGATATTTAAAAATGCCCCCTATGTAATCTAGAGCTGTGGTTCTTAAACTTTCAAGGTCACAGCAAGCATTTTTAAATGTTATTTTTAATACTTGTAATTTTTTCTTTAAAACTGAAGGGAAAAAAAGAATATTGAAACAACAAATTTTAATAATATATTTTACAATAAAAATAGTTTAAGGGTCCTAATACAGAATATCAGTAGCAACCATCTGCCATACATTGCGAGGTCTTGATTTTGAGTCTGGTTACTTCTTGGATAGGAAGCCATGAGGAAACACTAAAATTATAGGCTAGACTGGGAAGTCAAAAGACATCCTGGGCAAAGCAAGAGGTAAACTGCTTAACTATTATTGCCAAGAAAGCAGCATGGGTAGGTTAGTACAGCCAGTAGGAGTCAAACTTGACTTGAAGGTGTCTATCTTAAAACTGAATCTTTTTTCACATCCAAATCTTTGAAAGTCTGTGCTTTAAAGCTATAAAGCAAGTATTAAAAAATTGCAAATGCCAAATTACCAGAGTAAATTGATAGCATTTAAACTCAGAAACTAATTTTTTTAGAAAGCTAAAGATGAGCTTTACTTCAACCTACAGCTCATCTTTTTACCTAGTATTTGTGTGCTCAATATCCATTTCATAGAAAACAAATGTGGTTCAGAACCATCTAAAGTGATCAAATTGTGACAGAGATTGCACCTGCATTAATAAGTGCTAAGAAAGTTATAGGAAAAAAAAGTTTGGTCTGATTAGATTTTACTAAGACTTTTTAAAACATTGTTTAATGTTGCACTGAGAGGTACGTTGGCGCAGTGGTTAGAATGCAGTATTGCAGGCTACTTCTGCTGACAGCCGGCTGCCTGCAATTTGGCAGATTGAATCTCATCAGGCTCAAGGTTGACTCAACCTTCCCTCCTTCCAAGGTGGGTAAAATGAGGACCCACATTGTTGGGGGCAATATGCTGACTCTGTAAACTGCTCAGAGAAGGCTGTAAAAAGAATTGTAAAGTGGTATATAATACTAAGTGCTATTGCTATTGCTACATCTAACAGAAAGATGGATGATGTTTTGGTAACTATGCTACAATGAATGATATTGCGTAGATTTAAGCCACATCAATATGATTGAAATTCAGGGCTGGGTAGGTTCCCTTAATTTTTTAAGAGTTAATTTTATTCTTCTGATGCATTTATTCTACCTTAAAGTCATGGAAAACTGTTACCGATTTACAGTAATCATACCACTAATATTCAACAGCTTGTTTGAAAGATGCTCTGAGGTTACAAAAGAAAGACTTTGAATCTTTATACATCTTGGGGAGTCAGAAGCCCTCCCTTCCCCCTACAAATTAGCACATTTGGATGACAACAAAAATGGAATGGGTTCTGGATTAAACAGCTATCTATCTGTATCTGTGTCTGTTTGCTAGTCTTTCTTTCAAAATAGGAAATTCAGGTTTTTATATGTCCCCATACTTGATTGGGGAAAAGCAAATAGTCACAATAATCGATCGGTACTTACAATTTTTTTTCCTTTCTTAATTTACTTCTTGGTGAATTTTATGTCAGTTGAAAGTTGTATCTGAAATGGAATTATAGAAAATAAGAGGAATGCGTTATGTTTTAAAAACAACCCCTTCTATCCAGTGAGGAGACTGGATACTGCTAAAAATGCTTGTTTCTGATGTTATACAATTAACTACTTGTGTCAGATGTGATTATGATGGGCAAAATATCCAGCATGAATTCTGATTGGTTCCTGTACTTTATGTTATATAATAGTCTTCTTTTCTTAAACTGATAATAATTGTTACCATACTGCATGTCTAACTTTTTCCTCAATCATTAAAAGCATTGTTTGGTAAACTTTTTGTCTAACGTTCCTGCAGATGTAGCCTTGCTAGCTTTTGATATATCTATTTTCTACAAAGCCACTAACTCATCTCGCAAGTTCTCAGAAGGTGCTTAATGCAGCCAAAAATGTAAAGGAAAAATATCTTAAAGACAAATTGTTTAGTAATGAATTGTAAATGTTATTAAATTCACATTTATATGGATGTACTCTGGCACACAAGTACTCCTTGACTTATGACCACAATTGAGCCCAACATTTCATTGCTAAGCAAGTTAAGTGAATTTTGCTCCATTTTACTACTTTTCTTGCCAACTAAATCACTGCAGTTGTTATCAACACAGTTGTTAAGTGAATTTGGCTTCCCCATTGACTTTGCTTGCAAAAGATGAACACATGACCCTGGGGCACTGCAACCTCTGTAAATGTATGCCACTTGTCAAGCCTCCGAATTTTGAAGTTTGATCATGTTGCCATGGGCATGAGTCACTTTTTTCAGTCTCATTGTAACTTTAAGCGGTCACTAAATGCATGGTGGTAAATCAAGGACTACTAGAAATGTCCTTTTATTACTGTTTAAATCAGAGGTGGGGAACGATGGCTGGCTGAGGAATTCTGGCAGTTGGAAGTCCACAAGTCATAAAAGGGCCATCCTACCTCACCCCTGATTTAAATTATACACCAGTCATCATGATTGGTATTATCTGGACAACCTGTACTGTGGAATGTGATTTAGAACAAATGTGTTGCAGTCTTGCTTGCAGCAGCGGAGTATGGCTTGTAGTGAAATAGGACCTATATCCCAAACAGCCCACTTACAGACAGACAAGGCAATGCAGGAAGATGGGAATTCCCAAGCTGTCCTTTTATATTACACTTCATGCATTGCTCCTTGTTCTGTTTTAAAGGAATCCCCAGACTATAGTTGCAAAAAGTAGAATGAAAGAACCAAGAAATACTAATGGACATTCTATCCTTACTAGTTATGATTCAAACTATGCGTCAAGTTTAGTCACTTAACAACTATTTTTCTTTTCCTTTTAATTAAAGATTTAATGTTCATGTTTTCTTTTGTTTCTGCAGCTGGCGTATTGCATTGTGCAGTTTCTAGAGAAAGACCCTTCACTCACAGAACCTGTAAATATAAGAAATACATGCACAGATGAACATTTTAAAATATTGAATAAAAATTTTGCGGACTGATATATTATTATTTCTAATTGGTCTGTTTACTTTTTCTGATTTAATTTAGGTCATTAGAGGTTTAATGAAATTCTGGCCGAAAACTTGCAGTCAAAAAGAGGTATATTTGATAAGTTTAGATTGTTTTCTTATTTAAAATAGATTATTAATAAAAAGGGTAATCTTGGGACAGAAATAAATTATATTTCATAATACAGTGAATATAATTCCTAAGAAGAACTTAAAGACATGATTGTCCATAGCAAATGGAACTTTTGTCAAAGTAACAAAATCTGCATTGCCCCTTATTTATTTGCATGCAAGTTCCTGACCACTAATCCCTAAGGAGTATATTTTATATTGTAATGTCATAATGAATGTTTTTTCATTTGCTGTCATCCTCACTCCAGTGTAGATTTTTGACATAAACAATATTATTAGGCTCCATATTGTGGTAGGAATAAAGCAATACTTTCTTAAAGCTGTCTGGAAATGTAAAAGGATGTTCTTAAAAATAATATTTAAACTCTTATTTTTAATATCAGGTGCCAATCTGAAATATAAAACAGTAAACAACGTTGAAACAAGCTTTCAATGATATCAATTAAAAATGCACTTACAGTATTTCTTAAGAAACAGCCCAATAATTGCAGCTAGTATTAGCAAATGAACATTACTTTTGTTCATAAAATTCAGTTGAATTGATGCTTCTTTGGAAATTTAATAGATAAGTTCTAAGGAAAATATATTTATATTTAATATTTTTAAAACAAATTATTTTAGGTCATGTTCCTTGGAGAGCTGGAAGAAATATTGGATGTGATTGAACCTTCACAGTTTGTCAAAATTCAGGAACCCTTATTTAAACAATTAGCTAAATGTGTCTCTAGCCCTCATTTTCAGGTCAGTATTGCAACTAGATGAGACTAATTATTATAAATGTGTTATGTCTGCAAGATTAGGTTCAGACTGGAGTTTGGGAAATGGCTTAAATTGGTTCACTATGGAATCTGATTGGAATTGACATACTCATTAGATCTAATTCCTCTTCAGAATCCCATTTATATGATTTCTGTTATTACAAATTAAATAGGAGGAGATGACTGAACAAATTTCAGTCAGATAGATATAAATGGCTTTGTGTGATATTACACTAATAATAATTGCTGATATTGGCATTATAACTGCTATTATTTTTTTAAAGGAAAATAATGTTTATTCACTGGGAAAATATAATGAAATTGGCAATATTTGTTCCTTTTAGATGAATAGGTTCAGGATTTTTGTTTCTTGATTTTATTCATGCAAGACTTTCATAGTTTGTGAAAAGCAAGTTCTACATATTCATCTACCACTCACACCTTTTCTTTCTAGTAGGAGATTGTTATGAAAGAAACAGTATTGGATCCATTCCAATAAAATTCTTACAGATTAATGAAAAATAAATGGAGATAGGTATAAAAAAGTTTGTTTTTAATTGCTCAATTAGCATGGAAAGCATAGAAAAATTAATAGAATAGAGAAGAATGATAGGTAGAAAATTTATATACGATTGTGAAAGATGCATGATTTACTAAGTGTAGTGGACTCTTTGTTCGTCATCTTTCTGTGTCAATAGAGTCTATCGGATGTAATTTAATATTTCAGGTTCCCAAAGAGAGGAAATAATTAAGAGCATTTAATTGGAGATATATAAAATTAGAGGATGTAATGTTTGGATGTTCTGTGGAACATTCCATTTTTCCTCTGGTATACCAGTCCAACCAATCTCAGGGGTAGTTCAATAGTTTCTTAGAAGTCAATAATCTGGAATAGGAAATAATTTATGATATTTCAGTTGTGGTTCTGAGAACTCTGTCCTTGCCTCACATCCCCTTCCCAGTTAGTAAATTTGACTGAAGGTTGCTTTACTTTTCTCCTCCTGCCAACACAGAAGTATTTGTAGGGGTGGGGTCAACACTGGCAAGATGGTGGATGTAGTATTGTAATACAATCTGAAGGACCAGACAATTATGGCCCAGTATGCACTCACACATGCATGTATATCAAATATCTCTGCCTGTGTTGATAAAATTTTGTCAGATTTCTGAGGGAGACAACTAAGAAAATCTACATAAGTAAATTCCTGTTTTTGTCAATTGAGGAGCAAGTTGTTTTTACTTGCTTTTTTTTGTAATTTGACATAAGCAGTTTTGAAAATAATTCTGTTTTATTTCAAGGTGGCTGAAAGAGCACTTTACTATTGGAATAATGAATACATAATGAGTTTGATAGAGGAGAATTCCAATGTAATACTTCCTATCATGTTTTCCAGTCTATACAGGATTTCTAAAGAACACTGGAATCCGTAAGTTGTTGTGGTTGCTGTTAGTGCTGATTTTTCAGTACATTTGTTTATTTGTTTGAATTCAGTGCTATATTTTGTATTGTAATATGGAGAACTATATATGAATGGTGGTAATGTTATCAGTAGTTTACTATACTTACTTAGTATTTTGCATACCAGCACCAACTAGGGAAATGTAGACCATAATATTATTTCAATCATCTGACAACAAATAAAGTGTCCCTTTGCTATTTGAAAATGCATATTTTTTTGGATGGAACCTGATTAGGTTTACTTTTACAAAAATCTTCACAGTGCTTTTCATAAGGTGTTGTTTTATCAGTATGCTCTGCAGCAAAAATGACTTTGAGGAACTAAATAAGAAATGTTTAAGTGAAAGAAAACTTGTGAAGAAGAACGTGAAACTAAAGTTTCAAAATAGTGCTCACCTATGTTTAGGTATGAGATTAATAAGATCAGTATTTTTAATTTTATAATAAAGATCTTTTTTCTGAGGTTCCATATTTTTAAAGAATATAACGTGGGAAATACAATTTTAAATGTAAGGGGTTTTTTTCTTCCTCTTGTGCCTTTCTAGTAACTATTTTATCTTCTCTCTGTTTTTCTAATTTGTACCTGTACCTAAAATATAGGTCTAAATTTCCTTTTCTAGAATTGCAGACAGTTAGCATGGGTTCCTAATAGATTTGGGGACATAAAGAAAGGCAATATATCAAAACAAAATAATTGTCTTTTATGCCTAGTTCAGTGGTTGCCAACCGGTGGGCTGCAGCCCACTGGTGGTCCATGAAAAATTTTTGGTAGTCCACAGAGAAATGTCACTCGCAGAGCACCCCCAAAGCAATTAATTCAGGCTACGCAGGAACACAAGGCTGCACCGCCCACATGGTCTGCAGGAACCCTCCCCACCCACTCACTCCTTACCCGGCAAACTTGCTTGCAAGTTGCTATTTTTCCTTTTCTTTTTCCCGACCATCAGCTGTTCTGCTGTGCTGGGAGATTTAGATTAGCTAAAAAGCAGGAAACCATTGGATTTCTTGCTTTCTAGATAATCTTTAGATCTTCAGCTCAGAGCCGAACCTCCCTTAGGACTGAAGCATCTATTATTCAGTGCAGACTCAGGTAGCCGATGGTAGAAAGATAGATTTCTGAGTAAATCTGATTCTGTGAGCAACTCAATCTGCCTGCCTACTTTGCCAGCTTTCGGGTAAAAGTTGCTCTTTTTTATAAAAAAATTCAATATTTACATAAATATTTATAATATTTATATATAAGCCATGCCCACCCATAAATTAGGCCACGCCCATAAATTAGGCCACGCCCACAGAAGTGGTTAAGAAATTTGTATCCCACCCCTGCCTCTGTGTGTTTGTGTGTGTGAGAGAGAGGGGAGGAGAGAGGTTAGATCAGATCTCTCTCTCTCTCTCTCTCTCTCTCTCTCTCTCTCTCTCTCTCTCTCTCTCTCTCTCTCTCTCTCTCTCTCTCTCTCTCTCTCTTGTTTCATCAATGTTAATGTTGTAGATGAAAGCTGACATGAATCATTCAAATGAGATGTCTCCAAGGATGTCTTCAAAGGTCTTTGAGATTAGATTAGAATAGTTTATCTTTTGTGAGTAAAATGAAAGGAATTTGAATATTGCAAACATGAACACAGAACAAATCTACAACAAAATGTTGTCTAACCTTTTTTAACAGTTTGATGAGTTTCTTTCATATATTACAGGGCTATTGTGGCATTAGTATACAATGTGCTGAAGGCATTTATGGAAATGAATAGTGCCATGTTTGATGAGCTCACAGCAACTTACAAGTCAGATCGCCAGCGGTAACTTTTTAAAGCTTTTTGTCAGCTTTGCATAAAACCTGCAGTTTTTGGTTCCTTCCTTCCTTCCTTCCTTCCTTCCTTCCTTCCTTCCTTCCTTCCTTCCTCCCTCCCTCCCTCCCTCCCTCCCTCCCTCCCTCCCTCCCCCCCTCCCTTTTTGCAGTAATTGCATAATTTTCACACACAATTGATTGCAATGCCTCATTTTTCTCCCTGCATGCTCATTAGCCTGGTCCTTGCAAGACATAGATGGTTATTTTTTTTCTCCCTTTATGAGATACAGTACCCATTGCGTAGCTTGTGAACTTGCATTTCTCACAGAACTTCTTTTGGCTCTATGTTATTAAAGACTTACATGTATCAAGAATTTAGGTCTAATGAAAGCCATACAGTTACCAAAACAAAAACAATTTAATGATCAACAATTTAATCATCACTTTGCTTGAAGATAGTGTTCAGAATATGCTAGACTTTTTGGTGGGATGCGAAAGTATTTGACACTAGCCCTTGTGATTTCTACTTGATCATTTACTGAAATCTCTGAGCAAAGTGACACGTTTTCAGTCCTGCTTTTCTGCTTCTGTTATCTTGATACATCCAAGGCTTTGACATTGCAGGATCTAGAAGAAGTGCCATTCATACAATCATTAGTTGCACCTTAGATAAAATGTTTCTCTGTCTTTTCCTTAATAATCCTTCTCCAATTATAGTTCATCTTTTGTCTGAAATTTCAGCTTATCCAAAGCAGCAGGTGAAACTAATGAGGAAACTTCGGGAACTCTGGGCAGTTTGCGACTTGGTGAAAGTCGTTTCTTTTGTGAGACTTGGGGTTCCCACAAGCAAAGCGAAGGGTACTGTATGTCATCAAGCCTTGTTAGGTTAGTATAGCCTCTCACATATTTTTGGAGGCCACGATGTTGTTTAATCCGATTACCAGGCTCTCATAACTCACTACTTTAAAAAAATAGAAATATGAAATGTAATTGGTGGGGTAATAGATGCTTTTAACATTATGTGCACTTTATACCTTGTGGTAGAGACTAATTTATTCTATGTTATGCTTTCTTATTAACTTTTTCTTTCAATTAGAATGTTTAATATCAGGAATTTCTAGGAAAAATCATATAAAAAGATGCTACTAATATAATATGAATCATTTTGTAAACTTGGTTCATATTCATAGAGAAATTGTACAACTTCGGATATCAAGCATACAACTATCACATTTTGGGCATCTTGGCTGGAATCTTATATTAGTTAAACTCAGATTGTCAAAATTAATTTTCACCGATTTTCCATCAAATATATTTTAAAACGATGTCTTTTTTACATAAGAATTGAAGAAATTATTTTATAATTTAAGAATGACTTGTATGCTTTCTTTGTTCTTTTATTTTTTAAAAAAATAACACCAAAATTTCAATTATTACAAATCTAACCACAATATTGTTTATTAACAACAATGTGGCAATTATAAATACAGAAAACATTGAGGAGCTATAGGATGCAGACCTTTTTTTGCTTTGGTTTTCATTAAAAAGAATTCTAAGATTTCAGATTGTTCATGAATGTACAATACTATAGTTTCTGCATGTGTTTGATTTGTACTATTTTTCATTCTAGGGATGAATGATTCATTCTATTATACAGATTTAGACAGTAGATCAGTTGGACTTTGAAAAATGGAATATGAAATATTACAGAGCTTGTAAAGAGGAAAAATATACACATTTAAAATAGTTATTTTGTGAAAAACTGGTCTCAAAAATTATGATCACCATTCAATTACAGTTCAGGATGAAAATTAATGCTACCAGAAAATGTTTTCGTAAATAATGAAACAGAAACATTATAAGTAAGGACACAGTAATTTCTTGTCATGAAATATACCCCTCTGGTGCAGGTTTACATTAGACTTTGTGCATTGGTAACATCTCAGTGAAGATATACATTAAACACAATATAGTTTTAAATGGCTTTAAATGCAGGAATAATAACAAACTTATTTTTTTTAAAAACCCAATACCACAGCATATATTTGATATATAGCTTTATTTCATTAACTTTTAGCAGTTTTTGTTATCTAGAACACATTTTCATTCAACAGTGAAGAAATTCAGATACATTATGAGAATAAAGTTGCCAATGATGCAACTTTTGTACTTGAAATAATTGAATATTACAAGGCGCCATTTGCTTGTATTGTTATTTAAATCCATGCTGTTGTATGAAGTTTGTCTTTTTTATATTCAGTTTTAGAATTCTTTAGAGAAAATTGAATACTTGGTGCATAATTTACATCTGTTTTTGTAGTGATTTTGTAGTGTTAAAATGTTGCCATTTTTTAAAAATTTTGCTAGTGAGAAGAAAAAAGAGAAAGAACGTGAAGAACTATGGAAGAAACTGGAAGATTTAGAACTGAAAAGAGGTCTTAGACGTGATGGAATAATTCCAACTTAACAAAAAGAAACAAAGCAGCATTAATTAACCTGTGGAGTCACACATGTATGTAGTAGAAGATGGAGCAACAGTTTCTGTATTGTGCAACTTTACAGTAGATTTCACATTTGTTTCATTATTACAACAGCACTGTATATATCTGTCTCTAAGTAAAAAAAAATAAGGACTTCAATCCAAAGTTTGGACAACAGATGGACTTTTCAGAACTTTAAAAAAAATCATTGTTTTAACCCTTTAAACCAGTCTTCAAAAGATCTGTTGATGAAAATTGCTATGTCCAAATTCCATTGTCAGGACCTGTTCCTTATTTATCATTAGCAGAGAGTGATACAACTTCAAATGTGAACAATCTTAAATTTAGCTTGTGTTTCTGCTAAACTGTTAAATGTATTTATAGTAAAAGAGAAAAAAGATTGTCATTTTCTTATGAGTTTGTGTAACATCTTTCTCCTGATAGCTATGATGTAATTTGACTTTTTTTTCTCCTTTTTGCACATCTTCTTGAGTTGAATGTTTATACAGAATAGGGCCATGAAAAATAGGAGTCCTTAATACTAAGAAGTTTTTTTCCTGGTATAAGCAACTTTTGAGTACCAGACTCGCTTTGGTGCTCCTTCAGTGTGAACTTTATAAATAGTATGAGGTGGTTATAATTAGGATTGGAAAGTATGCTCTGAATTCATCAATGAATCAATTGACAGTGAATCAAAGCTCATCTCACCAATCCTTAACTAAGTGTGCAGTGGCAACAACACAGACTTTAATATATGATCAGTGTTAAATGTACACTGTTGATCATATGACCAGATTTGTGTTAGTAATACTGAGGCTAAATTATTGTATTGCTATATATTTCTTTAGGCCATTTTAAAATAATTTTTAAAAATACATGGGTCTATAACTGTCATGATAGATCGAATATGTGTTAACGGGTGAGGGATGAGTTGAGTAAAGAGTTTGAATTATTTGAAGTTGTTGATATATATATATATATATATATATATCTATATGTATATATATATATATATATATTACACACATACTCCAGCCGAAAAGAAAAGAAGAAAAAAAATGATGTAATCTTTGGGGAGGAAAGATTTAGTGGTGAGTTTGCACCCTAATGGTATTTCTCATCAGAGTAACATCTTGTTTGCTTTGGGCTGGAATGGATTATGGATAACATGTTTCAGCATCTTAAAGTTGGATGCCAATCCCAGTTTTATTTGTTATCAAAAGCAGTTCTCAAGATCCTATTGAAGGAAGAATAGCCCAATTCTGGCAATCCTAATGTCCTGAGTATTAATAATAAAATTTAAAATGATTTTATATCAAAGGTGCATTGTGACCAAATTGTTCTAGGTTTAAAAACAAAGGAAAAAAAGAGGGCTGTATTATAAGTATACATTACTGGCTATCTGCTTTGTATTTAAAAGTGGAATCTCACATCTTTGGTAGATAAAATGCTGATAAGACTTGTGTACAGTATATATTTAGCTAATGCAGGTGCATTATTATATACCGTAAGGTATGTGTTTTTCAGGATTTTTCTCCAGGATGCTTTTGAACTGTTATAGACAGCATATGACAACAGTGATTGATAATCCTAAACCATTGATCCAGCATTACTTACAGTATAAAACTGAGTTGTTGTTCATGAGTCTTTTGTGATATTTGCAAACATGAATTTACAACTGGTTGACATTGACAAAATGTGGTATTAATTATTAAGCTTATATATTTTTCTTCCTGCCATATAAATATTTGGTAGACTTTGTCGGTTTATTGTTTTCGCCCCCAGCCCCAGCTTCAGCCCCAAGACAACTGGGAGAGAGAAAAAAACAATCCTATCTGACTATATTGGGATTATCAGGTCACAGTTTGTATATATGGGTCTTTCATACTGATGGTGTGAATTGAAGAGCTTTGTAAAAACTTGACACTGCTAAATCAGGGCGGGTGGGGGATTCAGAAATAAACTAGTCATATATAACACTGAACACAATATGGTTTAATGGTATTAATCTAAGCCTCTTTTAAGAACATTGACTGGGACTCAATGTAAACTTGGCAGATGTTGCCATAGGTGAAATGTTCTATTTTAAAAAGTGCTGGAGCAAAGGTGCAACCTGAAATTCTGAAGATGAAATAAATTTATAACAAATCATATCCCTTAGACCTTCTTGATTTTGACAGTCCTTTTTTATTGTAGGTTTTGGGTCTAATCTGTTTCTCTATAACTAAAATATTTTAAAGTAGCAATTTAAAGAAAAACACGTTTTAGTTAGTGACTTCCAGTTGTTTTCAGCAGCATTACCTTAGAGACAGTTTTCAGATCATTTTTTCTTTAGAGAGGAAAAATATTATCATACAGGCAGGCTTCTATTTGAAGAAGTATAAACATTTAATATGAGATGCCTTCCATTAAGTGGCTTTCTCTGAGTAAAGAAACAAGATGGCTGTAATTACTCAAGCCTGATTGTCGGGCTTCAATAATGCATTTCTTTCCATTGCATTTCCTTCACAGATACTAGGTTTGTTTGTTTGTTTTCCATATTTCTTCACTACTCATCTGTCTAGGAGAGGGGCTCTTGGAGAACTTTCCAGATGCTATATTGGTGGACACTAGAGTAAAAAAGCTTCCCCACAAAAAATGAGTTCATCCCAACCATATATTTTCACATAGGTAAAATAAGGAACAATAAGGAACCATATATTTTCACATAGGTAAAATAAGGAAAATAAGGAATATTGAATGAATGCTAGCAAGACATGACAATGACTATGCTATTAAACTGCTAGACTATTAAACTGCCCCCCCCACCCAATGACAAAATTATAACAAATTTATACAAGTCTAACTAACTTGTACAAGTCTAAGCCTCTATTACATCCATAATGGTGGAACACATTTAACAATTTTATAGCAAATTGGAAAAAGTGCCAAATGCAACATTTTTTAGGCTCAAAAAAGATAAATATAGACATAAGGAGAAGATAATGGGGAAGGCAGTGACAAACAAGATCATGAAGGAAAAGATTATTTCTATAGAGGAAATAGACCAAAACAGTTTTCATGCATTGCAAAGTCTGCACACTGAAAAAGAGGGAAAAATAACACCTTCAAATAATGAATTTGAAGTTAATTACTGAAAATAATAAGGACTTGTTGAAGAACTAGTCAGTCTTGAACAACATTTATGTTGAGGTGATTATGGGCAAGAAGTAATTCACATACTTTGGTCATGTGAAATTGAGCAGATGAGGGACCAGAAATAAATGGATATCTTCTGCAAGCTTGAGGAAAGGAAGAAAAGCAGACCACAAATCAGACAATGACTCAAGGACACTACGAACATGTTTATGTAAGAGCTTCAGATTGTAGCCAAGAACAGATTAAAATGAGGGCCCTTTGCCCATTCAAATATCAGGGACCAGGTGCTCAGGGCACTTAATATTTCGAATTCTTTTGTTTTTTTTAAAGGATTTATTTGAAAAGACTTTTCTTTTGTTGCAGTGGAATAAAAAAGATGTTAGGGACATAAACTGCTCTGGAGACAGTCCACTACTAAAACTGCTTTTTCATTAAAAGTCACCTACCTGCCCAAGGATGGGCAATTAATTTTCCCAAGGGACCACATGAGAAACTGGGATTGTTGTGGAAGACTACCACCCTGACTTTTGCCACCCCAGCCCCCTGATGCTGCCCATCTCCCCTCTCACTGCTGCTATCCTGATACTGCACCAACTGATGCCACTGACACAGGCAGGATTGGGACTACCTGTGGGCCAGATGTGGCCGATAGGATATAAAATGCCCATGCTAGCACTTGCTCGAGGCCACTTGATAAATGAAGCATAGCCTTTCTGCATCAAGCAGAACTCTCTAATCCACAAATTCTGAATTTTACAAGGGCAAAATTATTTCCTTTTTCAAGTTGTTAAATTATCTAGATTAATCCTAGCTGAAGATGAAGAAATAGAATTTAAGAGTAGTGCTTTGAGATATGAAATCTCAATATAATGTAAGCTGTCGAGAGTTACCCTGTGATAAGTTGGGCGGCCAGTACATTTAATTCATAAAACCTAAAATAAAAAGACCCAGAAAATAAAACCAAATTAATTTATTTCAATCTTTTTTAAATATTCAGGAATCAAGTTACAATTTTGACTTACGATCACAGCTTTGTAAACATTTCATTGCACATATTTACTTATGTTTTAAAAGTAATTAAATGCTTTAAACCTGAAATCCCCAATGTGCGACTCTTGGACCAATCTTTCTTGGGATCCATCAGAATCCTGCCCATTGTTTAATATTTTTAATTTAAACAATATGAAACCTAATGGGGTAATTCCAATTGAGATAGGTTTCTATCAGATGCCAGATTTTTCCAATCTCTTCATCATTTCTCCATTCCTTCTAATCCTGTTGTTCATTCAACCCAATAAAATCAGTATTGTGGCTCCAGGCACAATGTACAGACAAATGCTCTAAACTCTTTGTTTAAAAAACAACCCAAATTTCATTCATGGTGCACAAAGTTCCAATAATCAAAAAGCATATGTTGTTGGCTTCTTAACAGTGAGGCCAATACATTTCACTCCAGTCCAAGGGTTTCTGATTTAGAATGATGTTTCAAGAAACTTAATTGTTATATTTTGTTACACTTAAAAGGAAATCATAAGAAAACATTTATGTTCTTTCATATTTTGCTGAGCAGTCGCAGAAAAGAAAATGCATATAAAGAAACAATTCATTTGCAATTCAGTGGTGGGATTTGTGACAAAAAGGACTACATTGATAATGAGAAATTTGCAATAAATCAATTTAAAATCATCCATCCTAACATGGGTGTCTGCAAGGATACGTGTGTCAAAACCTGTCAAAGATATTGGGTGAGGTATTGCAGTCAAACACAGTCCTTTTTGCATACCTAGCAATATTGCACAGGGACTTCAATTGTGATGCTGTGACTAACATCTTACAGATTTTGACATCACTATCACAAACACATATGTTTAGATACAACTTTTTGTTGGGCTTAAAGCAAATACTGATTTAGCCTCAGTTACTAATACCTCCCTCCTCTAGGTCTATTTATTTATTAAATTTATAATTTATTCAATCTGCTCAAATTGGGTACATAAAGATCTCTATAGCAAATATAGTTAGATGATCTAAAAATTCTAGCATCCTGAGAAGGCTAAAAATGTGTCCACCTGTCTTTGTCTCCAAATCATTCCTCATTTCCAAAGCTAGTAACATGTATTATATTTAATATCACTATATCCTCATTTTTAGAAGTTTTTTGGAGGCATATATTTCTCTAACTTGGTGTCACATAGATATATTCAACTATGATGGCTGAAAATTATGGAAAATTTCTTTTACATATTTATTTGCATTATATGCTTTTTTAGTAAGTACTTGAAACAGTCTGGTGTG